TTGTAGGTATGCTCTTTAACAACGTGAACATTTTAGTTCTTGAAAGTTTTTCCACATTAGACAAATTTTTGTTCTCGACAATTTCTTCTCCATCAAAATGATTTATATGGCGTCAAACCGTATGTTATTTTATATCCTACTGAACTATTATAACCATATAATACCTTGGTTACGATAATCATAAACAGGGTCTTAACTCCCAAGGGAGTTAAGGATTTCCATAACTCCCAAGGGAGTTACGGATTTCCATAACTCCCGCTTTTACTTTGAATAGGTAATACTTTGAGAAAAAATAGAAATTTTAATTTATGGTTTATTCCTTTATAAAAATAGACAGAATACAGTTAATTCAGTAGGATATAAAATTATCTATGTACTACGGGAATTATCAGGTGTTAATACCGGGCAATTGGTGTCCCTCGGGCCAGAGGCCCTCGGGACACAAACGTTGCCCTAGGGTATTAACACCCTCATAATTCCCTTGATACATGATAGTAGATTATACCACGAGTCAATAATGATAGCTATAGAGGAATATTTACGAACTGAGCCGCGTTAGCGGCGAGGGAGTAACATTCCGAGGGAATAATAGCCATTATTGCGAGTAGTATACTCTACTTTATTTACGACAAATAAATTTATTTGAGATTTTTAATGAACAAATTTCATCCATCACAATTTTCAATAGAAATCCACAAGCACTACACGTTTGACACTGACACTTTTGAGGAATAATGACCATTAATCCCGCTACTCGTCATTAATCCCGGGGGGAATAACATATGTCATTATATTGCCAAAATCACAAGTATAATTCTTACATTATACATTAGTCGTAAATAAATAACTATTATCACCGCTGCCACCTGTTATAATCTTGGATTATAAAGGGACTTGTACCTATTTTCTGTTAATTTTAATGAAGTATAAAATAATAGTAGATTATACCACGAGTCAATAATGATAGCTATTATTCCCGAGGATTATTACGAACTGAGCCGCGTTAGCGGCGAGGGAGTAACATTCCGAGGGAATAATAGCCATTATTGCGAGTAGTATACTCTACTTTATTTGCGACAAATTAATTTATTTGAGATTTTCAATGAACAAATTTCATCCGTCTCATAATTTTCAATACAAATCCACAAACACTACACGTTTGACACTGACACTTTTGTGGAATAATGACCATTAATCCCGCTACTCGTCATTAATCCCTGGAGGAATAACATATGTCATTATACTGCCAAAATCACAAATATAATAGGCACATTATACATTAGTCGTAAATAATAGCATATTATGCAATCATCATGTAATGATAGCCATTAATACACGAGCATGTTGTAGGATACGAAACGAGCCGCAGGTGAGTTTCGTATAAAACATGCTAGTGTATTAATGGCCATTACATGAGAGTTGCATACACTATTTTTTCTACTTGCATTAATAAACGAAAATAGTATATTATATTACGAGTGTAGAAAGTGACAAATTTCACATGAGTGTGTTTTCGAAAACCACACGAGTGTATGTAAGACGCTTTCTCACAAGTGATGTTCACCATTTTTCCTACGACCAGAAACCGATTTACACCAATTTTCCCTTATTTTATTTTTTTTCATTTTCAACACACGTACTGAAAGTACTTTCAATCCACGTATTGAAAGTAATTTGTCAATGTCAATCACAAATAATATCAACAGTATTTTCCACACGTGTGCTGGAAGTACTTTTAGCACGTGTATTGAAAGTACTTTCGGCACGCGTGTGTTATTTAGCGCTTTCCAAAGCACTAACTAGTGCGGATTTTGTCATTTTTGTATGTGGTCGTAGTCGTAGGAAAACACATTTATTTTATAAGAATAGTAAACTTCTCAACTGGTGACAATTGTTGACAACTTGACAATTTCAAAAATTAAGATCTAGGCGTCATTTGGACATAAATTCCGCACCCGATTTAGTAATTTTTTGTTGTTTCTTCTGGTAAATACTGATAGAAACAATCCAAAATTCCAAAGCAAGTATGTTATTTTTATATAAACATTGTTCATGTTCAAAATACTCGATTCCAGTGGCTGAAAAATCTGTATCATAATGAAAATCTGTATCCTAATGAGGTTCATTATGAAACAGATTTTAGGCGTATTATGAAACGTCAGTAGAAAAAATTTAAGGTGTTTTCTCGCGTCTCAAAGTTTTGAAACATTTTTCAAAACTGGTTTAAAACAGTTTCACAATGACGTCATAACTTCTCTTGCGCGAGAAAATGGTTAAAAACGTAGATTGGATTATATTTCGAAGCGGTTTGAACGAATTTTGTGTGAAATCATGGGTTCTTCGCGAGATATACTATTTCAAACCTGTTTTGAACCAGTTTCAAAAAAATTAACGCGAGAAAATAGCTTCATTATTTGAAAGTTTCGTTTATTTTATTGGAGCTCGACTGAACCATGGGTGACGGCAGGAGGGGGGGAAGGCAAGAGGGGGCAGATGCTCCCCTGGAAAATCATACTTCAAAATTATTAGCTATATAGACTTCAACATAATTTGAGCTGGCTCCATAAAAACAAATTGTCGATAAAAATCATAATAATAATATCAACTTTAAAACAATATTGAGAAAATTTTCTGATCTCTAGTATCTAATAAAACATTGGGTGTTTGATATCTAGTAGGTACTACATAAATATTTCTATTCATGTTTATATTTCCAAACAATTGGATTTTTTGATTTAAGAAATTTTTTTTGAATTTGATGTGAACAGGACATTGGGGTGTAATAATTCCAGCTGAAATCGTCTGTAAAACCTAAATAGGCAATAAGGTATAAACTCGATTGTAAAGTACCTATTTACCTATATTTATTTGAACAAAGGACTAAACGGTTGTGACTAAACCAAAGGTTTATTTGTTTATTTCATATACTGTCTGGCATGGCACATTACGTCATTAGTCCAGTAAAGTAGGTAACGACTTTGGTAACATTACCAGATTCCTATCTAAATGCAGCGTTAAACCGAAAGTAAGAAAAATTTAAAATTACGGCAACAAATTCGTTATGTGCCACCTTCCTCATAGTCTACGAGGCAGTGACGATTTTCGGCACTTATTTTCCCAGTCAGACAACATGGATAGAATTGTAAGGTTAGTAATAAGCAAAATTCATATATTTTCAGGAGGGTTTTCCGATGGGTTGAGGCGCAAAATGCATTAGAGCTTACGAATGCACGGCCCTTTTTTTTCCAGTGATAAAAATAGTTTTACTAATGAGAAGTATACTGAAGTTACGTAAAAAAATAGTCCGGCTGATCTGTGCGTATGGATATCACGTCTGGCAAGTGGAAAATTGAAGATGCGAAAAATTTCAGCCAGACTCACTTTCCAATATCTGACATAAGCCAAATTGCTATTTTCATAATATACTTTATGTTCTATTGTAGTAAATGTGAAAAATTTATGACTGGGAAAATAAGTGTACTTGTATTTTTCATTGATCTTGTGAACCCATCCGAAAATTTTTACTAAACTCTAAAATTCTTGTTTTGCATCGCCAAGAGAACAAACTATTTAATATACACGAACTGGGAAAATAAGTGCTAAAAAATTTCACTGCCTCCTGGACTATCAAGTTTTTGTTTTGTCAAATATGGAAAATTTAAAATTTGTAATAATCTTATTGCTATAGAATTTAATTAATTTTATTTTATTTGACTTAGCCAAATATACGGTTATTAAACTTATTTTAGCTCAATTAATTTTTTTAGTACCTATAGATAGTTTAATTACTTTTGTTTAAATCTTAGTAATTGATAATTATTGTAATTCGTTACTTTCTGGAGAATAATTATAGGTGATTGTAATTGAATTACTTTTTCTTTAAGTAATAGGCTCCTTGCATCAAATTTTTTTATTGCGGATTTCGATAGTCCATGAAAAATAAGTCAACACGTGTTTTTTCTTTTTCTTGTGAGTCAAAAATTGAAGGAGATACAACGCTTTGAAATGTCCTTCCGACGTCATAACTTAGGTATGGTATAAAACGTTGTGAGTTGTGACGTCGCACATGCTCAGTATATCTATATATATAAAACTCAATATTTGTTATAACTTCCAAAATAATCATATTTCGACAAAATAGAAAAACGCATGGATTTTTTTTCGATTTCCTACAGTTTGCAATAAACAATATTCAATTTAATTTTTCATGCAAGTACCCTATTTCTTGATATAGTTACTTAGAATTTGCCAATATTTTTTCCAGAAACGATACAAATTACAAAATAAAGTTCAATTTTTGTTATAGTTAGGTACGTTTATCATTAGGCAATACATTTTTCTTCTATGTCCGACCGTCCTTGATATTTTAAATATCATTTTGTGCATATATTAATCTTTTGAAGTATCATCTCCAGGCGCATATTTTAAAATTTTAAAAAGAGGATTTGAAATTAAATTAGATTTGTTATGTTATTTTCATCCCGCGAGGACAAGTAAATATTACCATTCGCACAATTCATATGGTGTCTCTATCAATAATTCATTCAACTAGCTCAATGTCACAGATATCAATGTTATTCATTTTGTATTTATTACATTTTTTAATAAATTCAAATAACACATTAATAAACATTAGGTGAATAATGATCTAGGTTTTCACAGAAAAGTTGAGGATTGATTGTCTTCTTATTATAACGATTTCGTGCAGTATAAGGCAAGTGCATCTAATCACTATTGAGGGAAATATGTCATGAAGAATTTTCCACTGCAAGGAGCCCAAAGCTGGTAGACAAAAAATAGATTGAACATTCCCAGGAACTGCAGAAAAATGCAATGTAATTTTGGACAGCTGGCGAAGCAGATACATTTCCTGATCAAATCCCAGCTTGAATTTTTTTGTACAAAATCTCTTCATAAATAGCAAAGTTAACTTTCTTGGTTGCTTACTTTTTAATTAAACTGCATAATTAGTGTCATATTTTTAAATTTAAATCACTATAATGAATATTTATGTAAGATGTGAGAAATATCGTAATTATATATTTTTTGTGATCAATGTACTTGATGAAGACTTGCTTCCTTGAATCCCGTTTGGCAACAGTGTAATATACTTATCCTTATATATTTATTTTTTCAGAAGATTCCGTCAGTTCTGCTACTGTTATCCAGCCTCCTACTAAGCCAAGGTACCAAAAGTACGTCCGACTTTGAGTTCCACAATGTATTGAAACGACAAATCGATGGCTACAGGTACCCGAAACCCCTAGTACCATTTCCGGATAATCCAAAAGTATATACCGCAGCGCCACCGAAGAGCACTGGATACACTTATCCAACACCTAAAGTGACATTCACTTCTCCGCCTTCAAGACCACCAACTGCTAAAACCCCACCGCCACCAAAACCTACAACCAGTTACAGTTATCCTACACGTAGAGTTACTTATACTTATCCACCTCCTACATCAAAAATAATAACTCCAAGAGTAACTACGAGGCCACCAGTTCCACCTACAAGACCACAGATTACTCCTGGTTATAACTATCCTACACCAAAAGTAACTTTCACGTATCCACCTTTCACGAGAAGCACACCTAGAGCAACACCAACTACTAGAACAGCTCCACCACCAACAACACGACCAAGTCTTGGTTACACTTATTCTACGCCAAAAGTTATCATCACTTATCCAACCAGTACGACTACTAGAAGACCATTCTCAACAGTTCGTACCACACCCCGTGTAGTTACATCACCTTCTCCGAGAACAACGCCTTTTACTAGAGCAACAACTCCATCTACTCCAGGTATTTCTTACTTGCCACCACAAACTACAAGGAAGCCGACTACAACTCAAAGACCTGTAACTACGTCAAGACCGCAGAGCACTCCAGGTGTTTCTTATTTGCCACCTCAAACCACTACTAGAAGGCCAACTACAACTCAAAGGCCAACTACGCAGCCTGTAAGAACAACTACACCTCAGATCCGTACTACTAGAGTGACACAAAGAGTAACTACAACTACTAGAAGGCCTGTAACAACTCCAAGACCAATTATTACCACAAGACCTACTATTGCAAGACCGCAGAGTACTCCAGGTGCTTCTTATTTGCCACCTCAAACCACTACTAGAAGGCCAACTACAACTCAAAGGCCGACTACAAGGCTTGTAAGAACAACTACACCTCAGCTGCGTACTACTAGAGTGACACAAAGAGTAACTACAACTACTAGAAGGCCTGTTACCACTCCTAGACCAGTTACTACTCCAAGACCAGTTATTACCACAAGACCTACTATTGCAAGACCACAGAGTACTCCAGGTGCTTCTTATTTGCCACCTCAAACCACTACTAGAAGGCCAACTACAACTCAAAGGCCGACTACAAGGCCTGTAAGGACAACTACTCCTCAGTTGCGCACTACTAGAGTGACACAAAGAGTAACTACAACTACAAGAAGGCCTGTAACAACTCCAAGGCCTGTCACCACTCCCAGACCAGTTACTACCCCTAGACCAATTATTACCACAAGGCCTACTACTGCAAGACCACAGAGCACTCCAGGTATTTCTTACTTGCCTCCTCAAACCACCACTACAACTCAAAGGCCGACTACAAGGCCTGTAAGGACAAATACTCCTGAGTTGCGTACTACTAGAGTGACACAAAGAGTAACTACAACTACTAGAAGGCCTGTAACAACTCCAAGGCCTGTCACCACTCCCAGACCAGTTACTACCCCTAGACCAATTATTACCACAAGGCCTACTACTGCAAGACCACAGAGCACTCCAGGTATTTCTTACTTGCCTCCTCAAACCACCACTACAACTCAAAGGCCGACTACAAGGCCTGTAAGTACAACTACTCCTGAGTTGCGTACTACTAGAGTGACACAAAGAGTAACTACAACTACTAGAAGGCCTGTAACAACTCCAAGGCCTGTCACCACTCCTAGACCTGTAACTACGCCACGACCAGTTACTACTTCAAGGCCCACTACTGCAAGACCACAAAGCACTCCTGGTATTTCTTATTTGCCACCTCAAACTACCACTAGAAAGCCAACTACAACTCGAAGGCCTGTAACAACTCCACAAGCCACAACTACCACAAGAAGACTCACTCTTCGTCCTTCCACTCCTGGTCCCAAATACCTACCAGCAGCACGAAACTCAATTTTTGCCTAAAAAAATTGATTTAGTATATTGATACATACATTTTTGATATGTATTTTTGTAAATAATAATCAAAATATCCTTTTTGTAATTTGTTGTTTTATTTATTGCTCATACGAAAAAATATTATTTTATTTATCCTGTTACTACGCCAAGTATTACTGGCCTATGTTTATTTAGTTGTAAGGTACTTAATGTTTCTTGTTGTTTTTTTTTCTTTTGAAACTTTTAATGGGTCTTGCCCGTAAATAAATAAATAAATAAATAAATAAATAAATATGCTCTCAAAAATAGGCTATTTTACGAGGTCCGTGAAGTTGGCCCCTAAAGTGTTAATTTTTTTTTGGAAAAATATGTTGTTTGTTAGTGCTTCGTTAGTGCTTCTTAGTGCTTCAATTGTTTTCGTTAGTGCTTTTTTCGTTTTCTGTATATCGATTTTTTTGTAGTTTCAAGGTCAGCTCTGACAAACTTTCAAAATGAACGAAATTCAATACTATGTTTTAGTGCTTCGTTAGTGCTTCTTAGTGCTTCAAATAGTTTCGAAAGTGCTTTTCTTATTTCATAGATATTTTAGATTTTCACTTCAAGGTCAGCCCTCAAAAATTTTCCGAATTACCCAATTTTGGTGTCAGTTTTTAGTGCTTCGTTAGTGCTTCTCAGTGCTTCAAACAGTTGCATTCGAGAATATTTCCTTTTTGAGATATTCAACTTTAAATTTTCAAGGTCAGCCTTCAAATTATATGGGATTGAGTTAAATCTAGAGTCGTTTTTTTGCGCATCGTTAGTGCTTTTCAGTGCTTCAGATAGTTTTCTTAATGCTCTTTCCGTATTCTGATTTTATTTTGAAATTGCCACCCAAACTTGTTCCAAAATGTACAAAAAACACAGGGACGCCACCTGGGACGCCACTGGAGCCAACATTGGTTTATAGTATGGAGGAAATCTAAGGTGCCGGTGGCATATTCATTTTTTGCCAACGTAATAGGACCTTCGGCTGCATTCGTGTTTGTTCGTGCACAGCGTAGGCGAATTATGATTGAAGTGGACTAACGTTGGCAGTTTAGAGCCTGCCTGGCGTTCAGGAAAATATTCTCTAAATAAATTAAGTTGGAAAGTGGCAATTATTGTTGAAGAAATACCTTTATTAAAAGTTTAAAAATTAATCATTGTCTATTCAAAGGCCCTAGAACTTTTTTGGTAGATTTGAGTTAGTTTCGGTTGGTTTGCGTTAGTATGGGTTATTTTTGATTGGTTTGGGTTAATTTTGGTTAAAAACCCGCACTAGGCGCTGGTCCTTTCTATTTCCTTTTTTCATGCAAAGAAATGAGAAGTACCTAATCCAAATTAACCCAAAATGACCCGTGCTGGAATTGCGACCCAATCTCTGTTCCTGAAGCTGATCAAATAGCGAGAAAAGTGCGCGTATAAAAAATAGAGCGCATGTAAAGTTTGTTTCACCAGGGTTTGTACTTGCCACCAGCATTTGTTTTCCTTGTTTAACAAATAAAAATTGACTGAAACAAATCAATGACGTCAAAAACGTTCGTCGGTTCTTGAACCAGACGTCATTCATTTTAATTTGTCAAAAAAATTGAATGTATCATATAAATTAATTTACGACAACCCTTTTTTGTCAAGTTTCAAGGTCAAGTATGAACCTTGGTGAAACGAACTTTACCTATGTATTATTAAATTTTGAATAAATAGGTATTATGAGTTACTGAAGTTGGTTTCTCTGACGTTGTGCGACAGAAACACAGTTCAGCTGAACATTTATTTTACAACAAGAGGATAAAAAAAGATCTTTTGTATTTTGAACTTTTCATATTTTCGATATTTTGCATTTTCGACATTTCTCAATTTTCACCTTTTGCATTTTCTTATTTCATTTTTTTTAGCTCACACTCTATAAAATAATTAGTTTCCATGGGGTAGTTCCAAAGACATCGGTAGTTCTATCTACCACAATATTATGCCATTCATTGTTTTCATGTAAATAAAATTGTTATCTTTTATCTTCCCTTCCTTTGAATGAAAAACATATATCGGACATAATTATCAATAAAATGCTTGTAACATTAACATACAGTCACATAAAGTGCCAACGTCTGGTTGCGATGCTCATATTCTGCCAACGCTTCATGGCGCAGGGATTTCTTCTTCGATTGTGACGTCATTTTCGGTTTGGTTTTCGCGCTACCAAACCGAAAATGACGTCACAGTCGAAGAAATTCTACCGAATCGAACGGTTCGTTCCTTACAGAATAAGACCCCTGGGTTGGGATCACGACGAGTAGAATTCTACTTTCATGACGTCATTCGCGACCTATTTATCGCGTACAGTACAGGCGATGATGATAGTTGCTAGGCAACCTGACGTCATGAAAGTAGAATTTTAGTAGAATTCTACTTGACGTGATCCCAGCCCTGGGTTATCTTCTGGCACAGCTTTTGACTGCAGACATTGCAGACAACATAAGTAGGGGAGCTCCAAAAGAGAAATGGAGCTACTAATGGCAATTTACGCCGAAAACTCACGCACTGGAGGTCGTAGCTTAGAATAATTCAAATTTATGATAAAAAAATATTATTTGATATTGTTCAATATAATAGGCAAAGAGGAAGATGAAAACGAGATCTAAATAAAGGGTTGTTTTAGAATGTTAATTATTAATGTAGTAAAACCGTGAATAAAACCAAGTATGCATGAAGCCAAAGCCCGCGGAATCATAACCTCTAGTGCAAAAGGCCTACGTCCATCCGAGAAAGGACATGCCTGCGTCACAACTGGTGATTTGGTGTATCATCCTTGACATCCTTGCTATGAACCGATGTTGGCTTCAGTGGCGTTCCTGTGTTTTTTGTACATTTGGAATAAGTTTGGGTGCTAATTTTAAAATAAAAAATACTCAATAATCAGAATACGGAAAGAGCATTAAGAAAGCTGAAAAGCACTAACGATGCGCAAAAAAACGACTCTAGATTTAACTCAATCTCATATAATTTGAGGGCTGACCTTGAAAATTTAAAGTTAAATATTTCAAAAAGGAAATATTCTCGAATGCAACTGTTTGAAGCACTGAGAAGCACTAACGAAGCACTAAAAACTGACACCAAAATTGGGTAATTCGGAAAATTTTTGGGGGCTGACCTTTAAGTGAAAATCTAAAATATCTAAGAAATAAGAAAAGCACTTTCGAAACTATTTGAAGCACTAAGAAGCACTAACGAAACACTAAAACATAGTAACAAGTTTCGTTCATTTTGAAAGATTGTCAGGGCTGACCTTGAAACTACAAAAAAATCGATATACAGAAAACGAAAAAAGCACTAGCGAAAACAATTGAAGCACTAAAAAGCACTAACGAAGCACTAACAAACAACATATTTTCCAAAATTTAACACTTTAGGGGCCAACTTCACGGACCTTATTTTAAGGACTCAGTTCAGTCCGGTAAATGCTTCATTTCCAGCCTAGTCCCTAAAAGTCGTCATAGCAACCTTTGCAGACTATTTTAAATGATTCAGGAGACAATATTATTATAAAAATTTATTAAACATAAGAATACAGTTAAAATAATAATTAATTACATACCTCGTTTCCCGTTTCTAATCAATCAAATGCGATTCCCTATTCTAGATTCAGCTACCGCCTCGTCGGGAAACAGCAAATATTCGTCCTAAAATATTCGTCCTTAAAAACCTCGTTTTTTACAAAAATAGTGTTTTTTAAAGGTGAAAAAAGAGATGTTTTGCGCATCAACCATAAAAAAAGTCATTATAATAACTATATAGACAACAATTAAGCTCCTGTATTCTCCTACATTGGCTATCGCGCTAAATGTAAACAATAATTTTACATTTTTCAATCAGACATTTACAGTTTCACACGCTCCGTTAGTTGGTAGTATAGTTTAACATTCAACTAACCTTTGACTGGTAAGTTTTGTTAATTAATAAATAAAAAATACCTACATAGTGAATAACATAGTAGATTTTTAGTAACTTAGACACAGCAATTTGTAAATTTATAATGGACCGAAATACTGAGGAAATTCTCGTGGATATGGACCAAATCGCCTTCAATATGTTAAAACATGGAGATGGTGAAATTGTTTTATTGGAAACGTATTGCAATGAAGGAATTGCAATTATTGAAATAAATAATCCTGGAAAACGTAATGCAATAAGCGGTAAGAATTAGCATAGGTAATCAAAATACTGTGGTTAATCTTTCATCAAAAATCTGCTTGGCTAAAATTTTTTGAGTATGATTTGCTTTTTTAGGTAAAATGATGTCAGATTTTCGAAATTGCATAACGAAACTGGAATCATGGAAACAAGGCAAAGCTGTGATAATCCTAGGTCGAGGTCAAAATTTTTGTTCTGGCGGAGACTTGGATTTTGTCAAAAACCATCCGACCCAAAAAGGTGGTTTATATTTCAGTACACTTATGCGAGACATCTTAAAACGCTTAGAACAATTACCTTTATTTAGCGTTGCTTTGGTGCACGGTGCAACTTTAGGGGGTGGTACCGAAGTCGCCGTAGCTTGCGATTACATTTTGGTTAGCGAGGATGTTAAATTTGCTTTTGTCCAGGGCAAATTGGGAATTATTACTGCGTGGGGTGCTGCAACCAGGTAAGATTTTTTTTCGTACATGATCGTTCTGTCCTGTCTTCGAATACCTTGCGAATTAACAAAGTGAGCTTCCAACTAAGGGCCGTAACTAGGGGGTGGCAAACTAAGCGCTAAAATGAGTCAAATTACATACAAGACATTAGCCGTATCCCGGTCACAGGGCTTCGGGCTTCGGAGTCGTGCACATCGCATTATTGTCAGTTCCAGCCATTGAACTAAACAAACACTCTGGAACGGGCGCATACTGCTTTATGCTAGTGTGCCAAATTTTTATGTATGCAACCCAGCAATACGGAGAGATTATTGTCTCGCTCGCACTCATTGCGGTTGATGTGAAAGGAAAAAAAGCTTCTTCATCTTCCTTCCTAACCTCAATGATCCAAACACTTCAAACAGCTGTTCTCAATAGCCGCCATAGTGCAGAGAGAGATGCAAATCTCTCTTGTTTTTTGTCCTTACTGGCAGAAACCCTCACAATTATGTAGCCGCCTTTCCAGTGTGTTTGTTTAGTTCATTGGTTCCAGCCATTGTTCCACCCAGCTGATCACCGATCAGCTGATTATTATTGTTTATTGTTTGTTTAAGCTTCAAGCCCCAATATTATCGGGATCTGAAAATATGTACTTTCCGCCCTGCCCTTCCCTTCCAGAAAAAATTGTCATGGACACTTATTCTTATGAAAAAATAAAATTCAGGGTTTAGGGTTCATGTTGGGGATAATAAAATATTGATCACTCTGTATCTTTATACAGTGGCTTATTTTTGTTGAGTCAAATTACAGTGGGTAAAATTGTTTTCTTTAACGGCTCTCGTCAAAGATTTTTTTACATTAAGAGCCGGAAATAATAAAAAAATTAATCACCCCGTAGGGTAATTCCGGGATTGTTGGCTCACTTTTTTTTTGCACGGCATAAAACGAAAACCCAAAGGAATAATGGAACGAAAAATATTTATTTAACTTAAGAAATCATGTAACATAAGGTTATTCATGCATTCATTCATTAGTATTATTCTAAAGAAAACTTAAACAAATAGATAATAAAATTATTTTGAAAAAAAAAGCCAACTAGGCCAACTCTCCCACTTACTATGGGCTAGTTGGCTCAACCATATAGGGTGACATGACCCAAGGCAAATTTCATCATCTAGCACCTTCTTTTTGATAATATTTTGCCACAGAGGTCAGAGAGGTTCAAATACTTAGCACAACTTTCATGGAACCACCTCTGGCAGTGTATGCATTGAATCCAATCATCAGTTTTTTTTGTAAGATTGAATTGTTCACAACAGCCAAGGCATTCCGTCGAATCCTCTTCCTCTGGACTATCGTCAGAATGATTAACCAACTCCAACTCATCTGATATTTCTTCTTTTTTCATCCTTTTTATTTTCTTATTTTTTTTTTCATCATTGAGATTTTTCGCTTTATTTCTTTTCTCTGTTCTTCTTCTTTCTTACGTGCAATAGCAGATTTCCTTTTTCTAATGTGGTCTGGAGATGTTAAAACTGCAGCTACTTGTTTTGCCCTTTTTCTTATTTTTTCCATGGCAGCTGATGATATGCTTGGCACAGGAGAAAATTTGTCGAGCAGTGTCCCAGGATCGGCAAAATTCGTCAATTCTAGTGGAGGTTCTGGTCCAATATTGTTTAAACTTGACGCTGACGTAGTTGCAATTTCCTGGTTTTCTGTTTGAGGGGCTTTAGCAGTATTTTTATCTAAGTTTTGGAAGTTCTGGTTTGTATTATTAGCTTCCGTCGCGTCAACTGAAAGATAAAAAAAAAAAATAGATCTAGGCCTAGGTAGGAATATGAATTAAGACTTACCTGTATTATTTAATTCTTCCTCTTTAGACCCCAGGTAGGCACAGTCTGGTATAGCCCCAGGACTGAAAGGACAGATGCCTGTTGATTTAAAAGCCGACACGGCATTTTCAACCGTCGCAGCTTTCGACCACGCAGCCGATAACAATTGTCCAAATTGTAAGCGAGATATCTTCCTACTAGGATTTGCTTTCACAAATGTATTACAAGCATTATTAAAATATGCTTTGATACTTGAAAAAAAATACCTGTCTAAGGGTTGAAGAAACTGGGTGGTATGACCAGGTAAGCAAAAGAGAATAACACCGTGATCATCGGCGTATTCTATCATTTCTGCAGAATTACAATGGCTGGCGTGGCCATCCAGTAGGAGAAGAACCATTCCTTCCGGTTTACGTGGAATAAACTGATCTTTTAACCAAGTGATCATCAGATCAGTATTGATGTAAGCTGATTTTTCATTTATATATACAATTGAGCCCGGAGGCATACCGTCTTCAAATTCAACTTTTTTATTGTTCAATTGCAGACCCGTCTCATCCATATTAAATATGTGACCAGGCTTGGTAATTAAACCAGCTTCCATTAACTGATCCATGTTTCCAATAACTGAAAGTACGACGAGACCTCTGTTTTGTTCATTCCTTTGCAACGAGCTAGTGATACGCCCTCAGCTTTTCTAAAACTCAAGTCAGGGTTTCGTTTCAAAAACATATTCAACCAGTCGAGTCGTAGCCGGCAAGCTTTTTGTCTTTATCAAATTTGTACTTAATTTTAAGCTGTTCTGCCAAGTTAAACGCCATTGCTCTGACACATTCACGAGTTGGTGCAAACCCGTGTTTTTGTAGTTTTTTTATATGAAACTTTATTTTTGATTCATTCCGAAGCCAAGAACAGAGGGTGGCCCGAGAGTTCTTTTATCAAAATCATTGTTCTTGAAGCGTCTTCGAAATGTTGGAGGAGGAATGTTATTAAAAGTGCGACACGCTTCTCTGACGCCCATTACTCCATTTCTCACTGCTTCTGCCGCCTTAACTAGGTCTTCTTCTGTCCATTTTCCTCTTTGCACAGTTTCTTTTCAGATATATTCTGTTGGCATGACTCTAGAATGGAAAATATACAATAAAGAATATACAATATGCAATCCGGGATAGATGGCCCGTGGACCAATGAACCCCTATAGCCGTTGGGCCGTCTATCCCAAAAGTCTGGGAGAGATGGCCCATTCCATCTCTCCAATATTTGATGCAAATATAGAACTGTCGGTGCAATAACATAACCTCAAAGAATCATAGAATAATGATTAGCAACAATCACGTACATACAAACAATACAATGCCGGGGCAAAAAATTAATTTTATTTCCTACTGAACTATTATAACCATATAATACCTTGGTTACGATAATCATAAACAGGGTCTTAACTCCCAAGGGAGTTAAGGATTTCATAACTCCCGCACGGGAGTTAAGCATATCATAACTCCCAAGGGAGTTAAGGATTTCCATGACTCCCGCTTTTACCTTGAATAGGTGAGGTGAAACTTTGACAAAAAATAGAAATTTTGATTTATGGTTAATTCCTTTATAAAAATAGACAGAATACAGTGAATTCAGTAGGATATAAAATTATCTATGTACCACGGGAATTATCAGGTGGTAATACCCACAGGCACGACACAAACGTTGCCCTGGGGTATTAACACCCTCATAATTCCCTTGATACATAAATAACTATTTCATGCCTGTAAAATAATATTTTTAACATAACTTACCCAAATTTTCACAAAAATCAATGAAAAATGGAGCAGGATATACACGGCACATATAAGAGACGTGGCTGAAGTAACACTAACGTAGATTTAAAATTTCCGGAAATATTGAACTGGGCCATCTCTCCCGGAATAACCCTATCTTTACACAGCGATGGAATTGTTTTGGATTATCCCATTTTTTGTGGAAGATTTCCTACAAGAGCCGGGAATAATTAAATATTGATCACTCTGTATCTTTATACAGTGGTTTATTTTTGTTGAGTCAAATTACAATGGGTAAAGCTGTTTTCTATTACTGGCTCTCGTGAAAGATTTTCTACATTTAGAGCCGGAGGTAATAAAATATTGATCACCCCGTATCTTTACACAGTGGTGGAATTGTTTTTGATTACCAGTTCTCGTGGCAGATTTCCTACAAGAGCCGGGACTAATAAAATATTGATCACTCTGTATCTTTATGCAATGGCTTATTTTCAATGAGTCAAATTATAGTGGGTAAAGCTGTTTTCTAACCGGCTCTCGTGAAAAATTTTCTAAATTTAGGGGATATAGGGATAATAAAAAATTGATCACCCCGTATTTTCACACAGTGTTCAGAGCCAGGAATAATAAAATATTGATCACTCTGTATCTTCATTACAGTGGTTTATTTTTGTTTGTTGAGTAAAATTACAGCGGGTAAAATTGTTTTCCATTACTGGCTCTCGTGAAAGATTTTCTACGTTTAAAACTAGAGATGATAAAATATTGTATCTTTATACAGTAGTAGAATTAGTAGTAGGTGCGAAAATCTGGATTGGCCTTGGGCGCCGAGTGTTCTAGTTAGGGCTAGGCTGTTCCAATTTTAAAATCCATCCGTGGTTCGATACAAATTCAAGTGTCTTTTAGCCAAAACCATTTTTGAAAGAATCAATCATCGTATCAATTCCAGAATTTCCAGATACCTACCTACAGTATTTTTCAAGGAAAAAAAAAAGTTGTGCATTTCCCACCAATAATCACTAGCTCAGTAATAATCTTTGTCCTCCGAGAAATATCCCTATCCCTTTTTATGTTTCACTTCAACCCTACAGCTGATTTAGGTAATCTGTACGAATTCAGCGAGCAGAATTTAGGCTTCAGTGGCCAAACAGTGGCTATTACAATTACAATAATTTCACCATCTTATCCTTTTTTTCGTCTCTGAGGCCTAAAATGTTTCCGTTTATCAGGGATCATCAAGGTCTATAACATGGGCGTCGTTACGAGGTTTCTCAGGGGGGCCGGATTAATATAAGACCATTTCCATTAGCGCCGCAGGCAACCGCAGTAGGCTATTTTTTTTGGTGCCACGCCCCTTTTTGAGCATTTTAACGTACACTTGGCCAAACATAAAACTGGTACAGGCAATATATATTTCTTAAATTT